TGTGTGTGTGTGTGTGTGTGTGTGTGTGTTTGTGTGTGTGTGTGTGTGAGAGTGTGTGTGTGTGAGACTGTCTGTGTGTGTGTGTGTGAGTGTCTGTGTGTGTGAGTTTGTGTGTGTGTGTGTGTGAGAGTGTGTGTGTGTGAGACTGTCTGTGTGTGTGTGTGTGAGTGTCTGTGTGTGTGAGTTTGTGTGTGTGTGTGTGAGAGAGAGTGTGTCTGTCTGTCTCTGTGTGTGTGTGAGTGTCTGTGTGTGTGAGTGTCTGTGTGTGTGAGTTTGTGTGTGTGTGTGTGAGAGAGAGTGTGTCTGTCTGTCTCTGTGTGTGTGTGAGTGTCTGTGTGTGTGAGTGTCTGTGTGTGTGAGTTTGTGTGTGTGTGTGTGAGAGAGAGTGTGTCTGTCTGTCTCTGTGTGTGTGTGAGTGTCTGTGTGTGTGAGTGTCTGTGTGTGTGAGTTTGTGTGTGTGTGTGTGAGAGAGAGTGTGTCTGTCTGTCTCTGTGTGTGTGTGAGTGTCTGTGTGTGTGAGTGTCTGTGTGTGTGAGTTTGTGTGTGTGTGTGTGAGAGAGAGTGTGTCTGTCTGTCTCTGTGTGTGTGTGAGTGTCTGTGTGTGTGAGTGTCTGTGTGTGTGAGTTTGTGTGTGTGTGTGTGAGAGAGAGTGTGTCTGTCTGTCTCTGTGTGTGTGTGAGTGTCTGTGTGTGTGAGTGTCTGTGTGTGTGAGTTTGTGTGTGTGTGTGTGAGAGAGAGTGTGTCTGTCTGTCTCTGTGTGTGTGTGAGTGTCTGTGTGTGTGAGTGTCTGTGTGTGTGAGTTTGTGTGTGTGTGTGTGTGAGAGAGAGTGTGTCTGTCTGTCTCTGTGTGTGTGTGTGAGTGTCTGTGTGTGTGTGTGTGAGAGAGAGAGAGTGTGTGTGTGTGTGTGTGTGTGTGTGTGTCTGTGACTTCATGTGCATTAATATCTGCACGTGGTGTGAGTTGAATGTTTCCTGATGAGGATGATGATGATGATGACGATGATGATGATGAGGTCTCACCTTTAGCTCCTCGCAGCACAAACCCGAAGCCTTCATTCTCCTGCTTCTGTAAAACCACCGTTTTCTGCTCGGTCACACAGTCGCTGTGGAGGAAATGACGCGTGTTATTCAAGCCCTTCATCATCCTCCTCCTCATCCTCACCGCCGCGCGGTTCATCATGACAGATCATCTGTATCGATCACTCGATGTCTTCGGCGCTTTTACCGCTAAACTCACGAGCCTCCGGACCGACGACGTCTGACGCATGTGTCACAGACGCGCGTCATTTATCTGTCGCGCCTCTTCAGCTGATCTGCGTTTAGAGTCTGCAGCATCACTGCCAGCACCCTCAGCAGCGCAGAGCATCTTATCTAGTCGTTTAGGAAGAGTTCTTGCTAGTCGACTAGTACTCTTCTGCCTTGTGTTAGACTTCCTTTTGACAAGATTGATAGTTAGGGTTATTATAAACACTGTAAAAACGGGTTTGTATTGCAAAAAGTTTTTTGAAAAATGTTTTGAAGATTTGAAAACTGCAAAAAAAACTCATACAAACCAATTGCAAATGTTTTATTGAAAGTGTGATCTCTTAAATGCGATTAAGAAATCAAACTTCCATTTAAATGGGAAGTGTAGGAATAATAAGTGTTATTTTATTAATTACTTGCACAATGGATGCTTTTACAAGCCTGACTGTAAGCCCATGTCAGCTTTGTTCACACACAGCTCATGATCTAACATAGTCTGCAAGCTGTGCATGAATACATATCTCTGATCCACAGATCATTCCTGTACATTTCCAAGTCACAGTAACATCAGTTCCCACCGGGTTGCTGTTTTTCAGTGTAAAAGTCCTGATTCTGCAGTGATTCTGTAGGGAAGTCATTTCTGCAGGTGAATTCAATGCACACTGAATCTGTTGATCATCCCTAGACCCTTCAGTAAAATATAGCTGATAAATCCTCATGTGTCAATAATCCAGATCGCACAGGTACGGCTGCAAGAGGTCTCTTAAAGATCGCTTCATCTGGAAAGCATCTGATAGACTTCTGTAAGATGTCAGTTTTACATGCATTCTAAATCATAAACATCTGCAAGCCATCTTCTAAACGTCTATTTGACATCTGATAGGAAACATCCTATAGATGTATTGCAGATGAGCAAACACTCTAAAGAATACGTCTAGCAGATGTAATGCAGACGTGTCAGTGATGGACGTGTGCTATCAGGGTAGGCTTGTCAGTCGAGATGCATTTTAATGGTTTAATATAATATCAAGGTTTATTTCTGGGTAGACAGGACTTAATAAAATAAACATCCATTGAGGCAGTTTAAAGCCTAACACTACTTACTGCAGTAAAATCACTTTAACACATGCTCTCATAGACTATTGCCTTATTATATAAGCTCTAAAACATTCAAACAAGTTCATTATAATTGTCAAGATTTCAAAGACATATGTGACCCTGCAGCACAAAAGCAGGCTTAAGTCGCTGGGGTATATTTGTAGCAATAGCCAACAATACATTGTATGGGTCAAAATTATAGATTTTTCTTTTATGCCAAAAATCATTAGGATATTAAGTAAAGATCATGTTCCATGAAGATATTTTGTAAATTTCCTACCGTAAATATATCAGAACTTAATGTTTGATTAGTAATATGCATTGCTAAGAACTTAATTTGGACAATTTTAAAGATGATTTTCTCAATATTTAGATTTTTTTGCACCCTCAGATTCCAGATTTTCAAATAGTTGTATCTCAGCCAAATATTGTCCTATCCTAACAAACCATACATCAGTGGAGAGCTGATTTATTCAGTATAAAATTGACTCTTATGACTGTGGTCCAAGGTCACATTTAAAGCCTGCTGTGCTTCATAATTTAAGGATGCGTCTCCTGTCTGAGGATGTGTTTTTAATTAATAAGCGAGTTAAAACATAAAAACTTGAACTGAATTGATCTGAATAATGACTCTCTTGTCTTTCTTTAGAGCTGCTTTACAGCAGAGTTAGAATTGGTCTCATATTTGATGAAGTTTGCATGATTGACTGTTATTTTCCCGTTTATTTCCGTGAAGCTGTACAGTGCTGTGACTTGAAGGTTTTCTGAGAAGAACCGCTGTATGCTTTCAATCAGGTCCGGTCGAGGTCTTACCTGTCAATGCTGTCATAGGAACCAACAGTGAAATGTCTGAAGAGTTTTTTCCTGTCGCTGCGCTCCATTCTGCTCTCTGGTGAACAAATGACAGCATTATAACAGATCCTCTTATGGTGAAGAGCATCTGAAAGGAGTCATTACTGCCTTCATTGCACGCACTCGTTTGAGCTTACAGAAACTGGAAGCTTACTCTTATTCATTTAGCAAAGGCTTTTAACTTCACAGGTGAAGAATAAAGACTGAGAATGAGACTGATGGAAACAGCCCTGTGATGGTCTCTCTCTCCACAGACACTTACTTGGTCTCTCTTTGTCAGGTTTGACAGGAATCTCTTCCAAACACCTGGCAGGGAACCAGCCCACCTGCCCTCGACAGCAGCCCTCCCAGTAACCGCCTTCACCAACGCTCAGAACTGCACCACACACAAGAAACAAGGCGACTGAAGGAAGGGAACATGGTCAGCTGAAAGGAGAAATGAGAAATTCACAGCGCTGACCTCTGACCCTTTCATTCTTGTGCAGGCTGATCTCTCCACCAGCTTGAGGTTGGTATGAGCGAACGACGACGAAATGACGGCCGGGAACAGCGCTGTACAGCTTTCTCCTGGAGCTCTGGCCACACGGTCTGCCATTGACACTGCAGGAGCAGAAACACATTCAGAACTCAGAACTGCAAGATTATACTCATATATATTCAGAAACGTAAGTGGGTTAATAATACATAAAACGTTCAAATATAAGACACATTACTGTCATCTAAGTCATGGAAGAGCTCCCTCTGCTGGAGGAAGGATAACATGACAATACCAGAAACATATGTTTGATATCAAAATAGTCAACAGAAAGTCAAGATCAGCAAGCAGGAGATGAAGTGATGATAAAAATGAGCGGCGCTTACTGAATAATCATAGTTTTTCATGATGTTCTGTCGGACTCCAGCTGAGCAGCATACATTCATAAAGTGTTAATACACCGAAGCAAAGGCAAAAATGTGAAAATGTAAAAATAATACCTGTCAGGGAAATTGTGACAGTAGGTATGGTGGGTTGAAACATTATTAGAAAGCATTTACGCCAGTAGAAATTTTGTACGTGCATTGATTTCAATCAAATGATTTTGATAACCCCAGGAAACAAAAACATATAAAATACATAAAAACACAACAATGGGTTAACAATTAAAACCAGTGTATGAGTCCATTATGCTGATGAATTAATCCGCTATAACATTAGCTAAAGCACATGTTTTCCAGGCCTGCATTTAGTTTGACATGTGAACCGCAAAGATGTTTATTTCTTTCTTCATTGCTTTCCGTGTTCACTTCAGAGCTACATATGTCCACAGCTGCGATATGCGCATTATAATTATTCTTCACTTCTCTGTCCCATTTTTGTCATATACACTATAAAATCCTTTAAAAATATTACAAAATGCAATAACTTTCTTCACATTTTATGGACTTGTCTTACATCTGATGGTCGTCTCATTAATATTTGAACAAATGAAGGCCGGGTTCATTCGTTGGTTGTATTTACTGGAGCTTCAGTCATGATTCACTGCTGCTGTACAGAGAGAACAAACAGCTTCACATCTGTTAAACGTGCATTGGATGGTAAATCAGTGAGATGGGCGCCTGATTGTCCTGTCCTGAAGATGAGTAAAGAACTGTTGCATCAGTTTTCTCTTATAATAATTAAGCCAAGGCTGATTAATTGAACTGAATGTGTTAACTGGATTAAATATTTAGCTACAGTCATATGTGTGTGTACGCTCCTGTTTGGTGAACTCTACCGTTTCTGCTGCGTGCTCTGCTCGTCCTCCAGGCTGATGGACAGGGAACGGCTGCTCGGGACGGTCCTGCCGCCGCGGCCCGTCATCTTTCCCGGGCCGCTCGGGTCTCTCTGCATCTTCTGCGGGGACAGACTGAGCTGCTCTGGACTCACGGCTCGCGTCATCAGGTTATTGTCGCTGTTGGAGCGCAGCAGCACCCGAGACATAGAAAGATTGTTCTTCTGGAGAGGCCGTCGCTGTCTGGAGTTCAGATAAAAAAAAAAAAAGTTAAAGTAAAGTACGAGGGGGAAGCCCAAAAAATACAATGACAAGAATCTTTGTAAATGTCATAACAGATGGAACAGAGCTAATACAGTGAGTGAAAACTGCAGAAAGAGTTCAGTAACATCGTGTCAGCGATGTAAAAGTGTCACCAGTGATCTTCAACCAGCTCACAGTGAAATTCACATTAAGCTCACAGGAAAACAACCTTCCCTCATCACTCTTAAGATTCAGATTCAGTGCAGATCTTAAATAAAAAATCTCAAGATAGGAGACTAATAACACATTAGATCTATGGGAACTATAATCTATTATAACTTAAGAGGATATAACATGGTGTTCATTGTGTTATAAATCATCATACTCTTAAAAAATAGGTAAGAATTACATTGCATTATGACTGTCACCATTAAGATTATTCATAAGATCATACAACATATACGTTATTTTTTAAGGACGCCATTTATTTTAACAGTCCATTTTAGACATTCTACTAACTATAAGGAACTTTGTAACTACATGTCAACTAGCTCTCATTAGAGTGTTAGTAGAATAAGCTGAAATGTACGTGCAAAGTGACTTATAGTGAGTAGAATGTCCATCAAAATCAAGTGTGAGCAGATATTAAGCAGACGGTCACTGATACTCTAATGACTGCTCGCTGATGTGGAGCTGCACAGTTACTGATGACGTCTAAAGTGGACTCAAAATAACGTGTTACTATACATTATAAATACAGGCTTCATAGTAAGTGTTCATAGAGCAAACCTTTAAACAAGTGTATTGGCAGCTGCTGATCGTTTAATGAATGTTACTCCCATAATGTGCGCAAAATGTCTTATAGGAAGAAGGTGGATAAGCTTATGGATTTGCTTGGGGAAATCATATAAAAAAATGACACAAACAAAAATGATAACAATATAAATATTCATGGAACATTAATTAGTAACAACAATACTGGTAAATGTCTATGAATGTACTGTAGGAAAAAATGTGTATAAATGACCCTGTAACAGGTTTTATTTTAAAGATAATAAAGAAAACATGTTTCTGTTGCACAATATATAGACTGACACATCGGAGGTGGTTATAAGTTGTCTATAGTACTCTTGTATATAGTACTTTCTTAAAAGCAGCTCAAGCCTCGTTTACGAATTCAAAAATGTAATTTTAAAACTAGTATCAGAGGCTTGAGATACTGACACGCAGTTACTAGAGAGAGACTTTGAGTTTTAATGTCATCTGTAATACCTAATCAATTACTTAGAGAACAAGAAGAAAACATTAAACCTACAAATTAAAAATAAAAGTTCCCTGATCATCAGGTATTAAATAACACCCCATACATGGCAAAAAGACTTGGCATCATCATGCTGATTCATATCATAAATCCTTTCACACGGTCTGCTCCTTCTCTTCATTCTACCTTATTTGGGCACGTACACCATAATGCTAACTTTGCCACACCATATACAGGATTTAATTAAACCACTTTTAAATTTATTTATTTTTAAATATTTATGTATTTTAAATAAACCATGCTCGATTAAAAGTGCCTATAAACTACACACTCCAATCTTTTCTTAAACCTAAAACAGAATCAAATGCTGACATTCAATTTTAAAAACATGAAGAAACATAATCTTCATAATAATAATAATGCATGCATCGTGTCTGTTTGTGGCGTTGATCCTCCACTGAAGGTCTCCTACTTTCTCTGTAATGGGTTTTTCATACCTTTCTGGGAAGAACCTGATTCATACATTATTGTCCATTTAATGTCTCTTACATCCTTAAGATGTTGATAATTGATGTTTTTTACACAAACTCTAGAAAGTGTGTGTTTGCTTAAAAATCAGTTCCAGATTGCCCATGGAAGTCACATTTCTTGCATCTTCCTGCCAGTCATCATTCTTCATAAACACATATCATTCAGGAAAATGGGTAAAACCTCCAGCAACGCAATTCTCAACAGAGAACATCGTCTCAAGATCATCGAGCATCCGGTGGATGAAGCGCTCAGACCTGAAGCCATCAAACTTACAGTATGGTTTTCCAGCTCGGTCCACTGTTCAGATGGCATATCCAGGAGATTCCAGGATTTCAGGAGATTCCAGGAGATTCCAGGATTTCAGGAGATTTCAGGATTTCAGGAGATTTAAGGAGATTCCAGGATTTCAGGAGATTCCTGGATTTCAGGAGATTCCAGGATTTCAGGAGATTCCAGGATTAAGGATAGACCACAACACAGCGTTTGCCAAGCTCACACAACCCTTTGGTGAAAAATAGTTAGTCCTTCCAAGGACAAGTAATTTCTCATCCACGCTCATCCTTCTGGTTTTACGCAGCAGCACACGCGCCACTTCCATGCACTGCTGATGCCGATAATATAAAAGATTGTGCTACTTGAAAATAAAAAAATAAAAAACACTATCCTGAAATTAACGTCACTTAGTCCTTGACCTCTGTCCTGAACCAGAAGATAAAGGACAGCAGCTTTTAACCATTACTGTCCTGATCAGAAGAACTTACACTTATGCATTGAACAGAATCTTTTGAATATCTTCTATTATATTTCTCAGAGAATCCAGTCTATTTATGCCAATGTGTATGAGCAATAAGATGATCAGGACATATGTGACCCTGGAGCACAAAACCATCCATTCATTTTATACACCATCCGCTCTCACACATAAACATTTCAATTCACAGCATTAAACAGCATTAGTGTGTTTGGAAAGAATGCAGTAAATGTCTGATACTCGGATATAATATTTTATTTTTTGAAAATAATTTTATTTTTTTTATATTGTCAAAAAAAAAAAAAAAAATACCACTGGTGCAAGACATGAGTGAAATGATTTAATAAATAAATAAATATAAAGTACATATATACTGCAATGCAATATATATGTGACCCTAATCTAAATATTGAGAAAATCATCTTTAAAGTTGTCCAAATGAAGTTCTTAGCAATGCATATTACTAATTAAAAATTAAGTTTTGATATATTTACGGTAGGAAATTTTCATATATATATATATATGGAATTACACTATATATACACTTTATGTGGCTGTATTACAATATGCCTTTAAGTTGCATGCATTTCGATGTTTACAGCTTTGTTTGCACTATCAAAGATGGCTGTTTATGAATGTTGCATATGATCACTAAGGGTCAGACTTTACTAAAATCAAATTCATTAAAATCATCTTTCTGCCAAATCATGAAAACAGTTCACCGGACGTTAATCTTTTTTTTTTTTTGCCCTTTGCTTTCTGGATAGTGCATGTTGCTGTGAAACTATGGCAAATCGAGTGTAATGGACAAAAACTAAGATCTTTAATCATCCCAGCAAACTGCAGATCATACTCTTACAGCAAAACCAACATTTCAAAGCCACAACTGGGTGCACACAAAGAGCTGGAGAAGGTCCTGCTAGAGATGAAATCAGCGTAAATCAACACACCTCTCTCTGCTGTGCACCAGGCAGAACCCATGACCCAAACGAATCCAGTCCCTACAAAATCCCATCCCAGATCAGAGAGGAGGAATGAGTCTGCCGCTGCGCTCGCTGGAAGATGATGAGCTCGTAATCCCTCGCTGCTGTTGTGATTTGAGGCTTTTTTCATTTAGTCTGCAGGACAGCTGTGGGCTGCTCCGGGAAACAATCACGGATTATGCCTCCTCAGATATTTACTTCTGTTCCTTTTGATTGATTTATTCATGTGAACGGTTGCCTGGGCCCGGTATAATCCAGCTCACTCAACATTTTTTGCTTTTATGAAAACATACTGAAAAAACAATGCTCTTTAGGTCAAGTCAGCATATAGGGTAGCACTGCTTGTTGTTTTTGTCTTTTGGAAAAGCCCTGCCTTCTTTTGACAGAGTCCAGTCTGACAGACGGCTGATATCACAAATGTGAATAAAAACAGTAGTGTGCGTATACAGTGTGAAAACAAATGAATGACCAAATACACAGGTTATGTAGTGTTGTCTATGTTTAGGTGACACTCAGCTGCAACATGTTTGTGCTCAAAATCATGCACTCAGAAAACAACCCACAGTTTCAGAGGAGAATATTTTAAGTGCAGCTCTGGATCGGCATCGCTCTTAATCCTAGCTGCCGCTCCTGGATTAGTCCAGTCATTTCTTTCACATTAAGACGTGCCCTATTTGCACACACACTGCTGTCTATAGAGCTCTGCTGGAGGTTTCTGATATGGGGTTGTTAAATCAGATGCAGTCGCTGTATTTGTGGCTCTTACCTACGTCACTTTCTCTGTGCTTCTTTATCAGCTCCGCCAACTCGAAATTCCCAGAGATTATGGCTACCTGCAACACAAGGGTATCTGAGTCAGTTTCATTCAGAGTCAAATACCGCAAACTCACGTCAACAATATCAATATAGCTCGATGCATCAGTCAAGTGACTAATGATATGACGTATGTGTAAAAATGCATAAAAGCAAAAATGCAATGTGTAAAAAAATCTACATATGTGTTATATATCTATAAAATATACTAGAAGACTATATATTTTTATACTTTATTTAAATATTTGATACATTTTTAACTTTATTTTTTAAATTTCTTTGGATTTTTCTGTATAAATGTATTTTTTCAACAACGGGATTATCTAGATTTATTTTAGATTATATTTTATTTTATTTTAATTGTGCTCACATTCTAGGACAGAAGACTGAAATATGATTAATGAACTAATGAGCGACTTTCCTATATTCTTTAAAAGACTAAAGTGTGTTTTTTGTTTCTGATGTCCCAGGATTTGCTATTTTCAGAGAGATCAATGACATATTTGTGATATATGTTTGTTGCATTTGTGAGTTGATACAAATGTAACTGGTTGTGTAAAATAGGCACATAATATCATAATATTGATATACTGATTGCACCCCTGACGCCTCAATTGAACCGATCAAATAAATGAATGAATGAATGTTTATTGTCATTGTATGCTCCCAGTGGAACAGAACAACAAAAGCAGCTCTTTAAGACACCAGATAACAAGTACAGAACAATAAATAAAAAAAAAAAATAGATAAAAAAACATAAACAGTATAAACATTCTAAACACTAAACAGTAGAAACGTAACAGTAGTGCAGCAACAGTATAGTGTAATAAAGTGATTGTGCATAAGCAGTACTTGTAATATTGCACATTGAAAAGTGTGCGTAAATTATTAACAATGTATACAGAGTAAGCAGTATAAATGGTACTGTAGCAGCAATGTACTATTATAAAGTGGTAAGTGCAAGACAACAACAGTATTGCACGTATGTTCATGTATACTGAACTGTATGTAAACAGTATATGTTGGCAGATAGTGTGGATATTGTGAGTTCAGGTTTGATTGAGAGCGGCCACAGCTCCGAGGAAAAAACTGTTCTTAAATCTGGTTGTGCGAGCAGAAATGGCTTTATGATGCCTGTCAGATGGCAGCAGATCAAAGGCTGATGGCCAGGATGTGTGAGGTCCTTGCAGATGTTATCTGCCTTCCTGAGACGCCGTGTACTGTATATGTCCTCCAGCGCTGGGAGTTGAGTCCCGAAGATCCTTTGTGCGCTGGAGACAACACGAGCAGCGGTAAAAGGTTGCCAGCAGTTCTTGTGGCAGTCCGGCTTTTTTCATTGCTCTCAGGAAATACACCCGCTGCTGTGTCTTTTTTACTTGTGCGGTGGTGTTAGTGGTCCAGGTAAGGTCCTCTGATGAAGCATAATTCCGATTCTGGGATCTCCTGAAGTCAACGATGAGCTCCTCGGTCTTCCCAGTATTGAGAGACAGGTTGCTCCTCAAACACCAATCCTCTAGGTTCTGTATCTCGGCTGATTCGTCATTGTCCGTGATCAGCCCCACTAAAGTCACGTGATCCACAAACTGTGTCAGATGCAGGAACACAGTCGCGGGTGAAGAGGGAGAACTGGATGGGACCGAGCACACACCCCTGAGGTGTACCTGTGCTCAGAGTGATGGTGGAGGATGTGTAGGGGCCCGGTCTAACTGTCTGGGGCCGCTCCATCAGGAAATCTTGTATCCAGTTGCTGTTCGTTTTCTTCGGCACTGGCACAATGATGGCTGATTCCAGAAACAAAGACAGATTGAAGATGTCAGTGAAAACTCCAGCAAGTTGTTCAGCACAGTCCCTGCGTACCCGTCCTGGAACACCGCCCGGACCTGTGTGTGGATTTACTCTCCGCAGCGTGCGATGTACATCACATATGCTCAGTGTCAGAAGCTCATCATCCTCTGAGGCTGGGATTGTGACCATTGTTCCCTCTAAGCTGTGCATTATTACATCGCGACCGCGCAGAAGAAATAATATGCCACGCACAGGACAGACGCAAAAATGAGTTGGGAAAGCCATTTAATTGAATTCTAGGAAATGTGAAATAATTGCAATGCTCGGGCAAACCACTATTGAGTTGGTGTCGCTATAGAGTTAGAACCGGTGAATGCGGTTTACAGGTTTCATAGAAAGAGGTGAAACGGCTCAACACGAGAGCCAACGCAAATGTAATGACTTGTGAAATAAAACGTCATCATGTTTCAAATAAAAGTGGCTTGGCACAGAACGGTAACAAAACTCAGAGACATTTACAGTCACACACAGGTGTAGTGTACACACTACATGGGGATGTTTAGATAACCGTAAAAGAATTCACGTTCACGTTGTTTGAAAATATTTGTTTTTTATATATTATATTATAAGCCTAATAAATAATTTACCTCAAACACAATCTATGCTAAAGATTAAGATTACTGTATCATAACTGGATCTCTTTCAGATTTAAGGCTCAGATTCCCTGTTACTAATCCAAATGAACCCAACAGAAACACAACTAACTCTATTTACTTCTTTTAATGGGTTGCCCAAGTCAGGTATAGCTACGTTTATTGTGTAATTGAGTTTTTGTGTCGAGATGAAGTGTGTGATTTCTGAGCCTCTATCAGCATCAGAAAAACACGCAGGTGTTCCTGTCCTAAAGTCACGCCTGCTTGAGAATGTGTTCGTATGTAAATCCCATCAGGATGCTTCATCAATCAGACTGCAGTTCTGTTTAGTGCTGCTAGTGGCACAGAGAAACAGAATAAATCACAAGATTTTTTGATGCTAAAAAGCATAATGCCCATTAACTGATTTCACCTGAATGAAAATCATGACATTGTATGCATGCATGTACAGAGCAGACTATACTGAAGTACACTAGAAAGTGCATCTGAGGAGATGAATGGAGGAAATGTAAAATCTCAGAGGGTTTAACACACTGAATCACTTCCTTGCAGTGATTATTTTCATTCTGCTAAGTTTCTTCTTTTGAATCGTCTAATGTGCTCGTTTGAGAGACTCTGCACATGCGTGCTTGAGCCGTAATCCTACCAGCACTTCTGACAGGAGATTTGTACATCACCATCTGTAGCCTTTAATCACAGTTCATCCACAAACTACTGGAACACACACACACACACACACACACAGACACACGCACGCACGCACGCACACACGCACACACACACAGTTAATTCAATTCATAAAACTAATTAGTATTTCTAAAGATCAGTGAAACTATTGAAATATATAGTGTTTTTAATTCTTAAATGCACATTTCAAACAGTTGTATTAGTGACCAATATTAAATAATGTGGTCACAATATTGACATAAAGCATACTAATCCATATATTACAGCTCCCACATGCAGAACGATCAACCTTTATCATTTTTATTTTATGGCAAGGAGAATATAACATAGGATTCAATTACAAAAATAATACTGCACACCAGTTTCATGTGCAATAACCTACTGTAAAATATGGGGTAGTTCTGTACAGTAAAACATTAGTAAATGGCAGTCAATGGCTACCGGCAACTGTTCGGTCAGCAACATTCTTCAAAGTATCTTCTTTTGTGTTCAGCAGAAGAAAGCAACTCATACAGGTTTGGAATAAATGATGACAGAACTTTAATTTTTGAGTGAACTATCTCTTTAAAGTTAAAAGTACGCTGAGAAGCTGACGGATGTTCTTCACAGCTAGTGAAATACATCCAATAAGATGATCTTTGCAAACGGAGCCAGTTAAAATTCCGTGCAGAAAGTGCTCAGTCAAATGCGGTGATCATTCACGATGAGAGTCGCGGCCAGCAGGACATTACCTGGAACGGACTCTGATTATTGCAGTTCTTCAGCTCCTTGTCGGCTCCTCTGACCAGCAGCACGTGAGCACACTTCTCCTGCGGGAGTCACAAACACACCGTCAGTCTCTAAACAAGACAGAAAGACAATGAAACATCCCTCCAGCTTCAGAGAATAATGATGTTTGACCACAAGACTCAGACTTTAGTTTGAGACACGTCAACAGGATTTTCATTTGTATTTTTGATTTACTCTTTTCTTAATGGTTCAAAGGCTGAAATATGAGGTTGATCATTTTATACAACTTGTATTGTCAAATCATGTATTGTTTGAACTGTAAAGTTGTTTGAATTATCATTTTTACCATCATGTTACACTTTAGTTGTTACCACAGATATTGGATTGTTTCAAAACCATGCTACTACCTGAACATTTAGCTTTTTTGTAATATCAAAATTTCCCAAAATGCGGATTCCAATACATTTTAAATAAGATTTTAAAGAGTATTATTTGTAAGTATTATATTTTTTTAAATACTTTTTTTTTGTAGCAAAGACGCATACAACTGATCAAAAGTGACTAAAGTCATCGTACATGGTTACTTTCACAGCTCCACTCTCAGTGGTTTTGAAATAAACACTCTTTTATTTGTGTTTGAGCCTCATTCCTCCTGACTTACAGCCCCACTGAAACACAGACACGAATCCCGTAGTTAACGTGCCACTAACCATATAAACAACTGCAATGCTGACGATCACACACCTGGTTGTAGAGAGCACAGATGTGCAGCGCCGTGTTTCCCGAGGCGTTCTGAGCGCTCATATCTGCTCCATAAAACAACAAGTGCTCGAGGTGCTGGACGTGACCGTGTCGACAAGCCTGTGAGAAACACACACACACAC